CAGGCTGGCTCCGTGGGGCCGAGCAGCCGGCAGCCCCTCCCTGGGCACCTAGGAGCCGATGATCTGGCCGGACCACGTCTCGTGCTTCGTGTGGGGAGCCAGGTTGGTGAGGACCACCTCCACTGCCTGGAACTTCTGGTTCTTGGGAGGGATGGGGCAGACCTTGTATGTCACCTCGTCTCCCTCCACCGGGACATACTCCCCCTCCCTGCTGCAGGAGAGAAGAGAGAAGAGAGAGGAGAGAGGAGAGAGGAGAGAAGAGAGAGGAGAGGAGAGAGAAGGAGAGAGAGGAGAGAGAAGAGAGAAGGAGAGAGAAGAGAAGAAGAGAGAAGAAGAAGAGGAGAGAAGAAGAGAAGAGAAAAGAAAAAGGAGTCCACTTTGCTAGAGGCATCCTACGTACATACGTAGCGAGGCTGCCAGATCCAAGGGACGTCCACCCTGGCAGCCCGTGCTAGCTTCCAGCTTTGGTTCCAAATCTTCTGGCCACCCAGCTCTTGTTTTCACTCTTCCCTGACTGCCAAAGGGCAGGTTCGGTGGTGAGCTCTGCGCTACCCAGCGCGGAGGTGGCCGCTCGCTCTGGCACAGGCCCCCGGTGGTTTGCGTGACAGCTGCCCCGTGACCCCGTTAGTTATCACCAGAGAAACAAAGGACCCCAGAATCACCACGACAAAGAGAGGAGAGGAGAGGAGAGGAGAGGAGAGGAGAGGAGAGGAGAAATGTGGTGGGTCTGGGGCCAAAAGCTGGACCCCCACCCTGGACCACCCAGCACCAAGGAAGGCACCCGACCCACCTGCGCCTCGGGAAAGAAAACGCACCAACAATGGGGGGAAGAGGACAGGCAGAGCCCCATCCCCACCCCATGGAGACGTCCCCAGCCCACACGTCTCCAGCCCCATGCTGATGGCACGGCTCCCCCAAGGCGTCCCAGTACCACACGATCCCCGGACTTACTCAGACACGTGGACGAAAATGTCCTCTGTGCCATTCTCGGGTGTGATGAACCCGTGGCCCTGGGAGCGAGAGAACTGCTTGCAGACGCCCTTGAAGATGGGGCCGGCGGAGGCACGTGCCGTGCTGCGGGAGGAAAGGGACAGAGATGTCCCACCAGTGGCACTCACCCAGGCGGCAGCACAGGGAGAGGTTTGCTATGAGAACGCAGCATTCCCCGGCAGAGCACGGGGCACCCACCCACGACGGTGACATGCAGCAGGCGTGAAGGGTTCTGCGGGTGCTGCTGATGACCGCGGTCCCCGCTCGGCTCGGCCAGGCGGTGCCAAGCCTGCTCGCTGCACGCCGGGTACTTACGCCGAGTAGGTCCTGGTCCTCTTGGTGGGGAGGGGGCTGGGCAGGTCCCGCAGCAGGAGGTTGCCCCGCTCCCAGACGCGGCTGCCCTCGCGCTGGAAGGGGAAGGTGGGCCACGCGGGATTGCTGCCTGCGAGCTGGGGAGCAAAGGGCGGGGGATGGTTACAGACCCCCCAGGGGGGCTTTTGACAGGGGGTGCTTTGCTGTCAGAAATTGCCCCCTCTGCTCCCAGCCCCACATCTGTGGGGGCAGGGAGCGTGCCACCGGCCTTCGGTACTGGGCATCAACCCCTGGCACTGGGAAACGCCCTGGCAAACCTGTCCTGGCTCAGAGCAACCTGGGATGTTCCAGCAAATCAGTCCAGAGGGAAGGGAAGAGCTCGGTTCGTTGCTTCATCTTCAGTTTTCCAGGATAATCCCACGTATTGGAGATGAAGTCACTAGAAAGTGTGCCCCGGGAGAAGGAGCGGCTGAGCCCAGGCTGCCGTGGGCAGGGACTGTTTTGGCAAGGATGCCCGCGCAGCGCCAGCCCACCCGGTCCCCCAGCCCTGGCCTCTGAAATCTGCCCCCAGCCTGAGAGCTCTGCTAAAAGGGTGGAGAAAAAAGGCCGAGACAACGGGTAGGTCAAGGTCAGGGGTCTGAGGTCTCCCCACAGCTGGAGGCCACCTCAACACTATGGGATTATTTAGGCCCCAGCCCCAAACAGTGGCTTGCTGCCCACATCCCTGCGGGGAAGGGATGCGGGGTGGCTGTTGCGGAGCCACCAGCAGCACGCACAGCCCTCAGGCACCTCAGACAAGCCACGACACGAGCACAACCTCCTGGCGCTGCAGTCATTGAGCTCCAGTTTTTGGTCGCCATCACGTGGTTTGAAGGCCCAAGGGGGCAGAAGCCCCACAACCTTCGGCTGCCAGAGGATGTGCAAGAAGTGGTGATGGACCCTGACGGCCAAGGCACCTGCTGAAGAGTAGGAGATGGAGCAAGCGTGGGCAAGGCTGTCCTCACCGAACCACCCCGAGCATGAAATTGGGGGGGTTGTGCATTTTTAAGCCCCCCAGCCAGATGCTCTAGTGCGTGATCAGCACTGTGGCCGCTCGCTCAGAAAGCCTTTGCTCTGCCGCTTTCTCCTCCCATCAGTCACCATGTTCGATGCTGGGTGCCTCTGTCTCGGGGTGCCCCACGCCAGCAGCTGCTTGGGGTCACCGCTCTTTGAGGGTGCTGGGTGGGGGCTCACCCATCTCTATCACCCCTTGGGCTTGGGGGCTTCCCCGTCGCCCCAAGCTGAGGGGCCCGACATCCCACAGAGTCACCATCCCCTTCCCTGCCAGCCCCTCCGGCCCTTCCCGCCCCACTGGGGCATGCGGTGTCTTTGGGACTACACCTGCACACACCAGGAAACACAGAGAACATTTAATTTGGTTTCTGACTCATCCACAGCCCCTTGAGACACGGAGGCCCTGGGGGGATGTGCAAAAGGGGGTCACCTCCGCTCCCAAATTAGCAGGCACCAAGGACATGGGAGAAGGTTTATAGAGCAGCTGAAGTCTCGGGGAGGGACCAAGCGACTCCTGTTCCCCTCACCCACCTCCACTTGCTTCCCCTGCCAGGGGGTCTGCCTGGTGCGGAGCCCTGACCGCTGTCAGTCCCACTTTGGTGCCCATCCACGCCGTAGCTGTTTCCTAACAGCCCTGCAAAGCTTCACTCCGAGGTGTGGGCAGCAGAGGCCATGCCACAGTCCCACCCCAAGGCAGAAGCCACCATTTTCCTCCTGCCCTGCGAGATGACTTCCAGCCGCGGCCGCAAACCTCTCCGAAACGTCTCTGCCATCTGCCCTCGCACCAAATCCTTCACGCGCTTCAGTGGCTCCTCTCTGCCATGAAGCAACTGGAGCGTGTGTGCCGGCCTTCTGCTCCACGGCCCACCCCGCACCGGCGCTTGCTCAGCTCCCGGCCCGCCAGGCTCAGCATCTCCTGCCTCCATGCCCAGCCTTCAGCATCTCCTTCCCCCATGCCCAGACTCAGCATCTCCTTCCCCCATGTCCAAGGAGCTCAGAGAGGCTCAGGGAGCACCCAAGCCAGACACCCAAAAGTCAGGGCAGCCACCAAGCTGCTCCTCTGTCCCTGACTGCACCCCGTGTCCAACTGCCCTGCCCATGCTGGCGGGCAGCAAAAAGTGATGTGGTCCCCAAAGGTTGCTGCAGGATCCAGTGCCTTCCCCGGAGGCGTCAGGGCTGGACGAGTGGGATCATTTGGGGGAAGCGGCCCTCGGTTCTCTGCCACATCATGAGGCCGTCACTATAAAAATGGCTTCACCGCAGCGCCTCCTCTGTGCATGCTTTCGCTGACGAGGCCTTTTGGTTTCCCCACCAGATTAGGGACAAAGGAGGGTATTTAACCTGAATAACGATGCTTGGAGCAAACTATTAGTATGCTGAGGGGGTTGGTTGGCATCAGGAGAAAGAGCTTCCTCCAGCCGGTCTGCAAGAGGCTGGAAAAATGGAAGGGGTGAAAGAAAAACAAGAGGCGCAGGGGTGTGCAGGAGGGGGAGCCTTGCAGGGACAAAATGGCGTGGGCATCACGGGGAGCTCATGGGGACGAGCGTGGGGACGGGGCACAGCGGGGCTGCGGGACCCCCATCCTCGGGGGTAGGCAGCAACTGCAGGACACGTCCCTGAGCAGCCAGCGCTGGCTGAGGCACTGCACCTAACCCCTGCGTGGAGACCCCCGTGGGAGCGTTGACGCCACGGGGGTCCCCGGGGCGGCACCCTGCCTCCCGCCTCATTTAAATCCCCGCAGCAAACAAAGGGAACGAGGAAATTAAACTCATTCCAAAAGAGGGCTGAGAGAAGAGAGGAGACGCAAGCATGTCCTCGCCCGGGTCTCCTCCCCTCGCAGCCCAGCCGGAGAGCAGGGAAAGCCTCTCCCATTCTCCTGTCCTTCTCCTTCCCTCCCTCTGCTCCACCTCATCATCCTCTCCCAGCCCTTTCTCCATGCCGCAGCCCCAGCAGGCGATGAGGATGGGGCACCTGGGGGGAAGGAGGGCTTTTCCCCCTCTCCTCCATTGCCAGCGGCCATGCTAACCTCCGCTGGGGCTGAGGGCATCTCTCCCCACCCTGGGTGTCTCGTGGCCTGGCAGGTGCCACCCACAAAATCCGTGTCCACCCCACGCATGTATATGGCGCAGGGACGAAATCCGGGTCACTTGAGGAGGCCAGCAGAGGCTGCAGCAGCCCGGCTGTGCCACAGGGCACGGGAAGCCCTTCCGCTGCTCCACCGCGCTCCTCCCCATCTCCCCTCAGTGGCTTTGCTCCGAGGGTCCCCCGGGCTGACAGTACTCCGAGGCAAGGATGTGTGTAAGGGGCACCGAGCCCAGTGCTCCCTGGAAGGATGCTCTTCATAAAAAGCACACCCCACCCTCGCTGTCTTCCCCTCTCCTCAAAGAAACCATCTTGGATCAAAACCCCAGAGCCCTCTGGTGATGGGGTTTCCTTCAGCGGCAGCAGCTGGCTTTGCTTTTGTGTTTTTCGGAGGACAGGCTTCACAGCTGAGCTGACAGTCAGGAGCGCTCACAGGCGAACGCACGAAACCCAGGCCAATTAAGGCAGACAGGCAGTAGACACATCAGCTTTCATCTCGAGATCCAAGTACCCCATTCATCACCAGCCACTGAAAGGTCTGCGGTTTATCAAATAAAATCACTGTCTCTCTCTCCCCCTCTTTAAAGGCAAACACATCGACTTGGGTGCTGGCTGTGACCTTGTTTAACTAAACATCCTTTCAGGGTCCCCCAGAAGAGGGGAAGGAGCCTTTTGAAGAGGCACCAGCCTCTCCCGCGCGGCGTTTCTTTGTGCTCCTTCCCCTCCGCTGGAACCCTTGGGCTGCCCAGGACGGACAGATGGATGGACGGACGCTCTGCTGGCGGCCGTCACGCTCTGGCTCTGGCTGGGACCCTTCGTCTGGCCTGCTGTCACCTTTGCAGGCCATCGCCTTTCACGCCGCCGTGTCTCTCTGCAAACCCCCAGCTCGGATGCTGTCTGCCACCACGCTGGGGTTTCCCGAGTGCCGCTGCTCCCCCTGACCCAGTTGAGGAGCCGGAGGTTATTTTCCCTCTGCTGCCTTTTCCAGCGAGCTCCCGCACGGGCTCTTCCCTGCCGCTCGCCATCACGTTTTTCTCCATCCCTCGCGACTGCCAGCGGCCCCAGTTGAGCAGTCAGGTTTACCTTCCCCGCTCCTTCCACCCCAGGAGCAAAAAGGTCTCTGTATGTCAAAACAACACCCGATCCCCGCAGCCAGCTGCTGGCAGCCACCTCCTCACCCCACGGAGCAGGGAAAGCGATGTTCTGGCCCGCCGCCATCCTCGGGGAGGCTGATGCCCCCCCAGACCCCGTCTGTCTAGACACGGGCTGAAACAGAGAAGAGCTACACCCCTCCAGACGCCGGAGCGTGTCCCCAGGGATGGATGCAAAAACAAAAATCCCATTTTTTCAGCTGCTTGGCACATTCACGCGCCAAAGGACCCACCAACAACGTGGAGGCCAGCAGGGATCCCCAACCTGCATCTCTGGAGGGGGCTGCCGTGAAGGGCAGGAACCAGCTGAGGAACCGGGATGGCTCCAGGCAGGGGGTTACCACAAGCAGAGCCATCGCAGCGCTCGCCGGGCTACGTTTCTCCATCCTCCCTTCCTCGGAGGAGGCTCACAGCCTCGGCGTCTGGCAGGTTTTTATAAATGCTGTCTCTGTCCGATGCTAATGAACGCCTCTCAGACCCCCCCCCCCTTTTTTTGGTTCCCACATCATGCTGTTAGGAGTTAAAAACAGAGCAAAGCACTTTTCTTGCCTACCCTGCATGTTAAAAAACCCTTTACTGAGACAATTCACTACAGGAAAAATAAACCAGGCGGTTTTTGGGGAATACAGACTGACAGGGTCCCCTCCCCAGCTAAGCCAATCACGCTCACAACTCCAGGGATCTTTGCTGAGATAGTCTCGCCTGCGATACAGCCTGCTTAGCGCTAAAATATGAATGTCACCTTTATGGGTTGATTATAAAAAGCTCCCTTAGTCAGTGCAGGGCTGCCCAGTTCTCGGGGAGGCCATGGGGGAGAGCAAGCAGGCTGCCAGATTCAAAGGGGAAGCAAAGGGAGAAGCCATCATGGAGGCTTGATTTACCTTTTCAGCATATATGCACAGCCATCACTCCCAAATACCACGTTTGTGGGATTTGGTTGTTTTGTTGTGGGTTTCTTTTTTTTAATTAGAATAGTGTCTGCTCAAAGACCTGGCGCAAATGTCCTCGTCCGCGTCCTTCCTTCCTCCTTTGTGGCTCTAACTTGCCGTCCGCACGAATGAATAGTGCAGCCAGTCCCAAAGAAACCCCAATTCAAGCCCCCCTCATTATCAGCCCGCTTTAATAAGACAGATCCTTACAATTCTACCACCCCCCCCAGCAACCTGAGAGCTGGGTCCCAGCTGATCTCAGCCCTCCGTGGCAAAGCCCTGGCCGTTTGTCCCCCAGCCAGAGCAGACATGCAACGCCGCCGCTGCCACCCCGGGAGGAGTTATTGTTCCTGACGCTGGTGGGGAATAACCAAACCAGAGGAGGGACGTCGCGCTTCACCCTCGCACCTCTCCTCAGCTGTCGAAAGGATAAAGCGGCTTTGAAAGAAAAACGCGGCGCACGAAGTTTCACCTCCAGCTACAATAGCCCGGACACGCTGGATGGCCATTGTGCCTCCCCTCACCTCCTTAGCAGTGTCGAGATCCTTGGAGCTGCGCTCCGGCTCCGCAGAGCATCGGTGCTCGGTGGGGCCGAACGTTCCTCTGCTACCTGGCGAGGAGCAGCGGTCTCGCCCCGCAGCCCGGCTCCAGGGGGCTTCCTCCTGCTGGCTGCCCGCCT